CGGGCCGGGCCGCCGACTACCCTGCGGGGTCGGCGGACGGTTTTCTCTGTGGGTTTTTTGTTTTCCCCGTTTCTTTTAACTTTGTTTGTGTTTCTGGCACTGTTCTGAGGGCAGTCCTGCCTCCTTGATGAGCGCCTGGCTTCGGAGCGCCGTGCGCCTCTGAGGTGGAGGTACCCGCCCGTCGGTCGCGGGCCCCTGTTGCCTCCCTACTCTGAGGGCTCGGGGGGATGGATGATTTTACCAGGGCGATTAAACCATCATTATTTTACAATAATGATCGTTTCGGGATGATAAAGCCGGGCCTGTGAAAGATGCGATTCAGCTGATCTGCAGGTCTCATACCCCAAGCAGGTCACGTCCCTCGACACCTCATAAGTCTCTTGATTATCTGAAATCCCAATTGTAACTATCCAGGTGGCTTGTTTGAACAGATAAAGGCATACCTAAATTTAATGAACCTTGCATTAGTATACACTTATATGTATTTTGTATGTTTTGCGTTCCATGTTTGTCCTGGTTTTGGCTCTCAGTGGGTTGGGAGGGCTGCCTAATTTTTCCGTGGTTTCATCAAGGCTTAGACACCGTGGGGTAGTGGTCTCTCATTTTTAAGGTGCCCCTGAGTGTTAATGGGGGGTGAAAGGGGACCAATTTTATATCCCTTGGCTTAAATTTTTTCCACTCAGGTTCTGAACTTTGATTTGAAAACTTTGGGAGTTCACACAGCAAGGAAGGTTGTAGCACATCTTAATCCCTGGACTCTGAAATAGAGCGAGTTCTAGAGTGAAGCTCCTGGAAGTCATCATCCACGTGTCAGTATCTATTCTGAGTGTCAGTTCAGGGTCTGAGCCCCCTTCCTTTACACTGTTGTCACTTGAACCATTAGAGCTGCACGCTAGGAAAAATAGCATTTTCTTGCCTGAGTTACTCCATGTTGCTTTTGAACTTTCTTTATACAGGCAAAGTATATGCTGTCAGAGCTCTGCCTGTGCAGCTCTGCCATGAGCGTGTCATACAGGGCATCCTAGTAAAACTGAAATGTTGCAAGTGTAACATGTATTGCATGTGGAATGCAGAAGGTAAAGGCAGAGGCAATAGTAAGATCTATTTGTATTAGGAGTGTCTGGTGACAGTGCAGGCTTGTCCTTTGGCAGTGAATCCTCTGTGCTGGTAGCACAGACAGTTGTGGTATGTAAAGCCCTGATCAGAAGTATGTGTTTGACATATAGAGTTTGCTCTTTGGTAGGCTGAGGAGTCAGCTCTTGAGTTGCTCTGTGGGCAGTGGTTGAAACAGGTATTCCTAAAAATGGTTGGAGACCTAAGCACTGTGTGTTGCCACAGCTGTTCAGAGAAGGGTGGATGTGTAAATAACATAGATGATATGTTGGATATAGCCAGAATGTGTGTTACTCTTTTCCACGGAAAGAAAAATCGCATCTGAAGTGCTCTCGACATGTTCTGTCCAGTAATGAGGCAGCAGTACTACACTTCATGGCTATGACACACAGTAGCTAATAGCTGTTAAATTAATTCCTTGGAGCTTTGGGATTGGGAGGAGGTGTTGAATATGACACTTAATTGTGAAGTAAGACCTTATGTTCCTGAGTAGCAAATACTGCACCGTTTTCTCTCTATTGCTATCACACAACTGCAGTTGTCTTAACTGAAAGTAAAACACATTTCAGATGATCTTATAAGCAGAAATTGCAGTACCAACTGTCCAAGTGCTAAGTAATCATGAAGTAGGCCTCTGAAAATTCTGCTGTTAGCAAAGTTTTGGTAATAATACATTTTGAACTGCTATTGTCTGCCATCTGCTTTTGCGCCTTCAGGCTGTGCTTTCAAGCTACTCTCTGTATTCATAAAAGGTGGAAACTTTTTGTTTTGTTTTCTTACCTTAAAAAAAGCTGTGATTCTTTTGTAATTTATTTTCTCCAACAACTGGCCTTTGGTTACAGCACCAGTATCATAAGGCCCTTGGTATAATCATCAGAGCCACTACGTTTCTCAGTGTTTTGGTGCGACTGGAAGATTAGTCACTTCTGCTTTCTTGAGAGCAACTGTTGAAAATAGCTTTTTTTAACATTTGAATGATATGCCTTTCATATCTTGAATAATTTCTGTGGTTGACTTCAGACTGTGTTGCATGCCTCACTTTAATTGATCAGAGAGGAAGCTGAAGTCTTAGTATGTTTTTGATCAATATATATTGGCATATGACAGCATGTTTATCAACTAGGAATAATAAATATATATATATACATGAAGGAAATGCTCTGAAGGGCTAAATGAATAATTACACTTATCCCCATGGACCTTTGTGTTCCAAGACATCAGGTTTTGCTCTCTAAGTTCTGCTTTCTCTCCAAATTTGAGAAGCTATAAAAGTGCTTTGTAATCTGAATCACCTACTTTTCATGTTACATTTACTTTACATTTTGAGGTGGACATCTTGCCTTTTGCTTTTGCTATTGTTTTGAGCTTCTAGGAGGTCTTAAACATATTGCAGTAGAGGTTTATTGGTTTGGAATAGCTGAGGTAGGAATGATGTATGGTGTTTCTTGTTTTGAGTCGGTATGCAGTATTAAGCTGTTGCTGTGCTTCATCCCAGAGGTGATGTGTGCTTCAGTGATGGGTAAAATTAACCCTGTAGGTGCTTTATAAGGTATCTAGGGATCCTTTGGGTTGCAAGGATGAAAATATTACTGAGGTGAGGGTTGTGGAAGTCTCCAAAGTAGTTAAGGAAGAAATTAATTTCTCTATGCCCTCTTCAAAAGTGTTATTCTGCCACTGAAGTGAGTATGGGCAACTAGCTTTTTCAGGTTCCTTATTCATTATGTCTTCAAATAATTTCCATTTTAAATTTATGGAGGTTTTTTCTCTTTCTTTTTATAGAACTTACCTAGATTATAGTCCAATAAGCTTCTTTTCATCTTGATAACTGCTATGAGTAATGAGAGATTCTGCAGACATAATTATGCCCTCTCTTAGAGCTCAGCAATTGTTGTGAGCTGCTTTCCCTGTTGCACCAAAACTCCTTGTTGCTTTCTAAGTGAATGAGAAAAGCCAGTTCAGCCTGGCAGGAGGTGTCTGCTCCAGAAAGGGCCTACCTTACTTTTACCGAGCTAGATAGGACCATACACTTCCAGAGCAGATTTCCTCTGCCACCATCTTGACTCGTCTTCCTCCTTATTCTAAGCAAACAATGCAATCTAAGCAAATTGCCTCCCATGTAATACCCGCGTGGCCCTTATTAGACAGCAGTGTGTTTGCTGGGGTGGCACTCAGCATACACTGAGAACGTTGATGGCTGCACACATATAACTGTATTGACCTATTTTCACCTTCATTGATGATGAAGGTAAAAGAAGAAGGAAATTTCAGTTTGAGTATTAAATCCCAGCATTTGTAAAGCTGGCAGGGGAGGAACCCTGACCTCCTTTGTAGGTAGGATGAAGGGTAGTATGGAGATCAGTCGGAATATCGGATATACTACCCCAATAATGAAAGGTAGTATGGAGATCAGTCAGAAGTGAAGGAGATGAAGCCCCATAGTGCCAGTTTTTGTTATCACTGCCCATATTTGTGTCTCGATTATTGCTCTGGGCTCCAGTTGTTTTCTGCTGTTCTTGTCTTTTTACTTTCTGCTTTGCTGTTCTTTCTAATGAAATCTTTGTTGTGCACATTTTAAAATACTGCTCCTCAATTCTGTTGCCTTGTTATGCAATGCCAATTTTCTCTTCCTTTGTTTATTACCTCTTCAGGATTAATTTTAAATACCAGTTTTTTTTCATTTGGTTGGTTGTTTCTAAGAGGAATGATCCTGGAAGTTTTCCATTCCACTTCTTCCTCTGCACTCTATCTGTAGACAGTGTAAAAACTAAGAAAGAGGGAAAATATGTAGCAGGCTGTTTCTTGGATCATGGAATGTGCCTGGGGTAAGGGACATGTGGACAAGATCGATACTTTTATTAGCCAAAATACTGTTATTTTTAAAGAAACACCAAAGTTGCTTTTCATTATATAGTTATCATCTCTAATGCTTAAAAGTATGTAGAGCTTTTTGATCTGAATACTGCCTAAAGGAACATAGCAGTCTGCATTCCGGTCTGTAGGGATTGTCACTGCAAGTAAGGACAAGGGTGGGGGGGCAAGTTAGGCCTGTATAAGAAGAAAGTCCTATTTAAATAATCTACCTGCTGCTTGTGTGACATCTGTCAAGGGAAAAAAAAAACCCACTGATACCCAAAACTTTTAGAAGAACATATCAATGGATGCTTTCACAGCATGTGTTATGACTAGCAGGTGGTATAACATTTTAATTTTGTTTATGAAGGTTTGCATTAATTCATAGACACGTGCATACTCCCTACATTTTAAAACGGATCTCTCTGTATGATCAAAACCTCAGTTATTCAGTGTTTTGATTTGTGGCACTTCAAAAAGTAGTGTTGCAAATAATCTTGCAAATAAATCTAATGTGAACTTTATGCTTGCCAAATACTTTACGTTTTAGTTGGATGTCTATTGCAAGGTGCTTCCTGAAAATCCCATAAGAAATGTAAGAAATTTGACTTGTACACTTTAATCTTATTTAAAATAAAGAAAAATGGTGTTTCCCAAAGGGGAAAGAAGCATGTAGAGGAAAGGTATGGTTTTAAGAGAGTTCTCCAAGCTATGAAAAGAACAGGAATGAACTTGAACGCTCCAAGGATGTGCACCTTCTTGGCCTATAGTAGGATGACAAAGGAAAACTGTCCTTTTCCATTTGAAGCTAAAAATGGTATCTCTGCTGGAGTTTGTTAATTCACTTGCCCTTTTTTTTTTTTTTTTCCCCACTGATTCTTTTTCTTTTATAATTATTCCTTAGGGTGAAAAATTTGGCCCCTTTGCAGGGGAGAAGCGAATGCCGCAGGAACTGGATGAGAACACAGACTGCAGGCTCATGTGGGAAGTGAGTAATCTAGAGTGACAGCATCACAGCTAGCAAAAAGTGTTCTCAGAATCAAGTTTTTATTGTAACAAATCTTCCCCCTCCCAGCTTAAAGATACTGTAGTGAGATTTTGTACTTATTGATGCTTTTAAAGTATGCTTTTTGGGTGGAGGGGGATTGACTTCTTTAAAATGATAAAGAAATAGCAAATGATAGTTTCTAATCAAGGAAGTGTGAAAAATATCAAGTCAAGCAAAACAAAAATATAACAACATTGTGAAAAATAATCTTTTTTTATTTTCCACATTTTTCAATAAGAGTAATTTGAATATGGGAAGATGATTGTAAGTTACTGAGATACTGATTTATGCTGATCAACAGGTGTCAGCTCATAGCTTCCTCCAACTGTAATATAAAACATTTCCTGCTGTGACACTTGTGCTAGGGTTTGGCAACTGTATGGTAAGTGAAGTTTTTAAATTTTAGCAACTTTGTAATGCAATGTGTAGTTGTGACATCTTCAGCAAAATAAAAACCTGGTGCTGTTGGCGGATGAAGGCATAATGAGTTTCAGGGCTCTTCTAAACTCTTTTTATGTGTATTAGGCAGCAACAGTAGTTTATACCCTAGATCTTGTAATTAGGTCTTTAACCCATCCTAGTTCCTGTCATAGCTGTGTTTGCCTGTAGTAAAAATCTGTCTGAGTTTACCAGTTGAGGAGGTTACAATAACTGAAAAATACTCGAAGTAACAACATTTCCAACTTGTTTTAAACACCTGCTTTTCAGTGCTTCTTTTCCATCTTTGTAATCTTTCTTTTCTGCTGTAGTTCTTTAAGCAGAATTCCTTTCCTTTTTTTGTGCCCCTTCCCCCCTTCTCCTTTTTTTTTCCCCCCCGCCAAGCAGTTTCTATTAAATGCATATTTAGTCCTATTTTACACTGAGGAGGGGACTCATTTCCTACTTTCACCTTTCTGTGGTTAGAGGTGGAAGGATGACTGTTATTTTTATGTTGTGTGGCACTGTACAGAAAAGGCTGATGTTTGACATCTGGCTTAAAGCACTGTCTGTGCATTTATTACAAAATAGATGTTTGTTTGAAAAAAAACCTCTAGCATTAACATCGCTGAGCGGCTTATGAAGAGAGCTTAGTATTGATATGGTCTTAGCAGAGCTATAAATAGTTTCTACACGCTGGAACAATGAGTGAGAGAATGCTAAACCCAAACTCAATATAAGTACAGTGAGTGGCAAAATATTCCTGGAGGAGTGTTAACTCAGGTCGGTGAATCCCTGTGGCTTTGTTTTCCCCCTTCCCCTTTGCCCTTTCTTTCTTTTTCTTTTTTCCTTTCTTTTTCCATCTAGAGATTTGCCCAAAATATCCTTTCCCAGAGAGGAGCTGTGGGCAATTCGTTCCCCTGTCTCCTTTGGTTATGTACTCAGAGCAACTGGTTTAATCTTCTTTGTTCTCAGCTGAAAACAAAACAATACAATGTGCTTTTATTACAGATGCTTGCTGAATACACTACATGTTAACGTGCCCTGGCTCACTTGCCTTTTCATGATGTTTGTGCAGGTTATTTTAACTCAATAAAATACTTGAGCTAGAACAAGGTTTTCGGAAGGGACGGTGGGTGGATTATAGCAACGAGAAGGTCTTTAAGTTTGTTGGAAAGCCATAGGATTTTCCAGATGCCTCATTGCTGATGATTAAATGAGATTTATCTGTTTCTGTAGGACAGAAAATAAAAGGCAAATACATGCATTTGCTGATGACACTAATATGACCCCATCGATAGCAAATCAGAAAATGAGGTTTTTATGAGCTGTTCTAAAACCGTTTCATAATATCTTTTTGTAACCTAGTTTTGAGAGCCTTGAAAAGATTCCTGCATACCAAATTTTATGACTTCCTGAATGTTTGAACCCAAGTTGTTCATGTTTACTGAAGTTGATCTGAATGTGAGCTTTATAATATAATTTAAATCATGCTGAGAGTAGTCTTAAGTTGAAAATAGAGACCAGGAATGCAGAAAGTAAAAAGTTGAACGGTCCAAGTAGATGGTTATTCCAGAGACTGTGGGAGGCAATCATAGCAACTAGCCAAGTTTGTGCGTAGTCAGCTGTACCAAAGATATTAAAAATAATTACTTTGAAGACTATTGGATGAAGGCACACTAAAGCCTGACTTCACAGTCTGATGGCAGTCAAAAAAAAAGCGTTTTCTGAGAGGATACCTCAGAAAGAAGGAAAGAAGGCTAAGTAGTAGAGGCTTTTTGTAAGTCAAGTAAAAAGGAACATAAGTGGAACATTTCTTTTCTTGGTATGTGATGCCTGGGATCTGAGCTTCAATTCTGTGGAATAGTTCTCTGTGAGGAAGTTTACCACACGCATTTCTAGTTGTGTAGAGTGTGGTCTGTGATGTGGTCTGTTTTGATCAAGCTATTCCTTTTTCTCCGAGACTAGCATTGTGAGTTGGCATCTTTAAGATGTCACATTGAGACAGAATTGTACACATTCCGTTTTCTTTTGGTCTTTGGGAAAACATGGAACCCAAAAGAATTTATTGGGTCCAGTGATTTTGTTAAATAAAGTTCTGAGGATGTTAGAGTTTGTGTTTAAATTAAATATAGCAGAATGCTATTAGTCTGCCTGTAACTTGCATAGTTTTGAAGAAATCAAAGGTTTACACTTGCTCATTCAAGACATTCCAGAGGATTGGGGTGGTGGTGGGGGGAAGCATCCTTGATCTTGCTATTATCTTTGTGAAGAGCTACATGCTGAAACATTTTATTTACAACTAATGTGAAGGGGGAAAAAACCAAAACCTGTGGTAACCATATAGTTAGGAGTAATAATAAAAAGCCAAGAAAATGTCCAGATGGCTTTGTGCTTTTTCTTTCTTTCTGTGAAAAAAACCACCTCCCCGTTATCCTCCAACCCCCATGTCATTATCTCTCAGACTGAATTGTGTGTTGTGCTAGTTAAGTATGCAGCTACTTGCTGGTGATGAATTGAGGGTTTTGTTCTTATTCTTAGCATCCCACTAACACCTTGATTGTGTGGTGGGATGTGGTGGGATTGTGACACTGCTTCATTGGTCTGTGTTAGTATACTTGGCATAGCAATTTTAAATTATGTGTATTTGCTGGAAGAGCAAGTCCTTTAAGGCAAGAACAGAATAATCTTTAGGTATTAAAGTTCGCAGAAGTTTTTGCCTCTGGAGGCTCAGATGTCGCTTTGCAAAGGGAAGATATCTGTTCAGTTTATTTTCTTTATTGTCCCTAACCAAGAAAGTGGCATTCGTTTCACTACTATTGGATTGTGGCAAGCATATACTTTTGGTGATGACTTTGGCAAATGTTAAAACAGGGAGGGCTGGAAAGACTTAGTCCTTCTTCAAATACTCTGACATACTGTGAAGAAATGTTGGTCAGGATTGGATGGCACATAATGCGCTGTGTAATGCTGAATGTTACATATTTCAGGTTTGGTTTCTGTCTATCTGCCAAGGTTATGTTTTCTTCATTGTTATATTAAAACAGAGAAGAACAGAAACATTGTGGAAATCAGTCTTTCAATGGAAGTTAATGTTCATGTTTATTTATATGAGAAAATGAAATGAACTTATGTTTCTACTACTTAACTCTCATTACTTCTGCAGTGACAATTGTTTTCAGTTAAATAAGCCTGCCTGAAAACTAGTGAAGGCAATAGAAAATCTGCTGTTGGCTACAGCAGCTTTAGATCAGAGCTTTAATGTTTAGGATTGAGGTATGAGAAGTCAAGCATTTTAAGCTAATGGTGGTGTGTTTTTTGTTGTTTTTTTCTTTTTTTCCCCTTTGATATCTTGCCCGTAAAATGTGGTTCTGGCATAGGAAGGCTTTTACATACAAGGCATTAAGTTGAATTATGTCCTGAGTTTCATGATAAAATAAATCTTAATTTGAAGAATTCTGTGTTTGCTCTCAAGATGAATGTAATATTAGAAATCTAGTTCTTAGCAATGTAGTCTTTGTTTTTTCTGTATGAAGACTACCTTCCCAGTCATTACTCCTCAGATAGAATTTACATTTAAAATTGTTTGCTTTTAATGTTTTTGTGTGAATCTTTGTTTAATTTTCAGGAATGTTTTTATTTTTCTCATTTCTTAGACAAATGCATCTGGATGCATTTTTACGCAAGTTGCATTTAAAATAACTTTTACCACACGTAACAGTCAGACATTGATGCCCTATCTCAGTTGCAAGTTTGTGTCCTACATTTTCAATTTTGTTGAATTAATCCCCACTGGGATAGACAGGTGTCCATAGTAGTTATTAATATTCTTACCAGTTTGTTTATTTAGCTAAATTTCATTAATCAACTCTTTTAAAGCTTGATTTAGTCATCTTTATTCATGTTAAGTGTATGACTTTGTTTTAATTTTAGTGACTTTTGGAACAGGCACCTTAATGATCATCTGGTTTTGGTGATGAGAAGAATCCACTCTGAAAAGTGACTGAGAATGTTAACCTCACATCTTCAGTTACATGATTTATTTAAGATATTAGAAAGTATTAAGGTGTTGATATGTTGAGATGCTAGTATTCTAATCTGAACTTGTTATAGAAGATCACACACAATTTGCTTAAGGATTTGGGTAGCCTTCCAGTGAACGTGAAGTTCAACCCTTCTTGTGGAAGCTTCACAAAATCTTAGCAGAAGTCCAGGAATGAGCTTTCTGAATCATTCTGTCTCTGACAAGGTCAAATAACGTCATGAAGCAGCAGGAGCTTCATTAACATGAAAAACTGTTGTTCTGTATTTTGGCTGAAGAAAAATGTAACATGCTGTCTATGTCCCAGTACTTCATAGTGAGTAAGCAAATCAACAATGGCTGCCTCAGGTTTCCTTTGCAAGTGTTATTTTAATACTTTCTACAGCAATGTTAAAATGTGTGTTTCTACTCTGCAGTGAGCTCTGTGACGGAGGTCTGAAAGTGAAGATGCAGAAGTATTGCATCTAGCTGTTTTATACTA